CCAAAACCCCAAAACCCCAAAACCCCACTATATACTATTTGGCCAGCTTTTTTTATTTATAGTGAATTAAGATTAAGTTAATAGTTTCATTATAATTTTCTTCTTTTATTTGGTTTTTTACCAGCAATTGGCTATTAAGGTTCTTCAATAATTCTAGTGCAGTATTCCTTGTAGAAATTAACAAGTCTGGGCTATTCCAACACAAGCTGCTGCAATGCTTCTCTCTAAATATTAGTTACTATAACGAAAACTTACATAATACTTTTGTTTGACATCATCTTGTTATTTTACATTAATCTTAAATTCGACATCATCTATGCTCTCTGTAAATCCACTTCCATTCATATTGACATAATCAATTTGTTAAATTCCAAAACCAAAGAAATGTGGTGGGACCTTGTATTATTAAAATTACTTAAATTCATCTTCCAAATCATTTATCAATAGCTGGCATTCTTTACTCTCCTCTTCATTTAATTCATTCTCTCTATATAGTTAGAAATTAACTCGTTTAAATTGCTTACTAAATGACTCTTATCAGTGGATTCTAGCACATTCTACATTTGAAGTCATAACTTCTAGCTTCAAGCTCTCTCACTTCATTTCCTGGCCTTGATTGAAAACAAGGGGTATTGTTACAACGGTAAGATTAACCTGTTTATCTTGAACTTCTCATCTAAATTTAGAATTGCATTATGTGAAATTTTACTTACTCTTTCATCAGCCTTTATCTTAAGCTAGTGAATTCTAGCTTTAATAATGAACATTAGGTCCTTGTGAAAACAATATATCTGAACTTTAGCATTATTAGACAAAGACATGGCTTTATTATAGTCCATGCCAAGTTTTTCAGCATATTTTTCAAAAAAAGTTAGCTTCCTATAGTCCTCTTTTTTCTTAAGTATTCCATGCATGGTAAGTTTTTCAAGAATGGGTCTGACTATAGTATCTTTCAACTTCAATTGGTAGGCAAGAGAATACTCTTCTGCCCTATTCTGAATTATAATTTTAAGTTATAGCATTACATCTTATATTTAACTAGATAATCCATAACTATAGGCGTTAAATCGTCCTTGTAAAGTACTCTTGCAAGTTTTCGTAGGAATTACTCTAAAAGTGATAAACTCATTTTTATTATAATTATAATATTTTTTTAAAGACAACATAAATTATTCCAGGGGGTTTTTGGGGTTTTGGGG